TAGCAACTTTTTGATTTCTCTCTTTCATTGCTTTGATATATTCTTCTTTTCCTTCAATACCTATACACTCAATTCCTTTTTTTTGAAGTTCTTCCATTAAATAACCTTTTCCACTTCCAATATCAATAACACATCCTTTCCAATATTGATTAATTAATGAACTTAATTCTTTACATTCATATCCCTTCTTTTCATTCATTAATATCCATTGTTCTTTCTTTCCTTTAATATTTCCTTTAGGATATAATAATTTACATTTATCAATAAATTGTTGTAAACTTAATGGTATTTCAATATAATATTTTTTTGGAATAATCTCTTTAATCTCTGGTTGAATTAATACAAGAATATTTAATAAAATGATATCACTTTGTTCAGGATATTGTTTTGCTAATGTTTTAATCAAATCAAAATATTGATTCCTCCATTCTTCATTTATTCTTTCATAAATTCCATTAATTAATATTCTTGTAGGTCTTTCAGTATTTAAATATTGACCTTCATTATTATAATTATTTACACTAAAACAAATTTCATTTTGATTTAATAAATTTATCATTTCATTTTCATAATGTTGATAAGTTTCAAATATAGAAGGTAATATTTCTTGTTGTATAGATACTAATTGCATTTTAAAGAATTTAAGTCAGAATTATAAGTTTTTAAAAAAGATTTTTAAAAAGAAGAAATAAATAGAAAAAAAAAACAAAAACAAAATAAATAAAACAAATAAGAAAATAGAATACAAAAAACTATTTTACTTAACAATCAGTTCTAATAATATAATCGATTACATATGGTTATGTTCTAATATCATTTTAGTAATATTCCAAGTTTTTGTTTTAGTTCTATAATTTAAATTAATTCTAAATGGACATTCAGTCTTTTTTGATCTTCTTTTCTTTATTCCTTTTGTTTGACAATAAATTTCTTCAGTAGGAGACCCAGAACAACTACGATATTTTCCACTACATTGACATACAAGAACTACTTTCTTCTTAGTTCCATCTTTCATTGTTTTATTATTACCACTACCTTTACGTAAAACTACTCCACATTCTTCAGCCCATTTAGTAAGTAATGATATAGCTTCTTCATATGATATAAATTCTTTCTTTCCTTCATATTTTGTATAACGTTTAACTTCTAAATCCTTTGGAATAGTAAGTTCAGTTTGATTATAATTATTAGGAACGCTTTGTGGTCTACTTCCATTTAACATTTCATTCTGATTTGGAAGAGTAATTGGAGAAAACATTGATCGATGTATTGATTGAAGTACAATCTCTCCTGTTGCTGAAACTGGACGAGGATATCCCCTAGTATTAATTTGTTGTGTTGAAAATGAATTAGTATTAATTGGAGAATATAATGTTCTTTCAATCATTGGAGATATAGAAGTTCGTTTTGTAGTATAAATTTTAGATGGTAATAATGGTTGAAGAGGAATTTCATTTAAATTAGGAGTATCTTGTCTTTCTATTTTTATTTCTGACATTGCTTGATCTTGAAAAGGTAATGAATGTTGTTGTAAAGATGTATTTGTTATATGACCATTTTCACTAGAATAATTATAACTTTGATTAACAATTGGAAGTTGTATAGAACCAAGTCCAGATGAAATACAACTCGATATATTTTCTTCATTAGGAAGTTGTATTTGTGTATTTTGACTTATAGATAATTGATGTTGATTATCAATTGTAATAGGTCTAAAATGACATGTTTGAGGTTGAATAACATCATTAAGATTTGGTTCTAACATTGATTCATATTGATGTTCTGAGTTTATTGGAGAGAATTGAGTATACCTAATTGGTTGTTGATTAAATTGGCTTTTTCTTTGATTAAAAGAAGAATAAGGTTGGTTTGTGGTATCAATAGGCGGAAACATCAATTAAAAAAGGTTATTTCATTTTTGTTTTTCTCTCTTTTTATTTTCTAATAAGTTAATTAAAAAAAAAAAAAAAAGAAATAAAGTAATTTTTACTATATTTGTATTATATTTTTTTATATCTAAAAATAGAAAAATATTTATAAAATTCTTTGTTAATTTATTTTATTTTAGCTTCCTTAGTTTCAAATGAGGAAAAAATATAAAATAATTATAATTTAAAATAATATTTATTATTATAAATTTACTATAAATTATGAATAATATTAATGATATTTCACACTATATCTTCTTCTGTAGGTGGTTTTATATCATCTTCATCTTTAGAAAATGAAATATTTTCAGTAATATATAATTCTTTATCTAATTCTTCATCTATTTGATCAATATCTTCACTATTAAAAAACTCTTCTTCTATTTCTTGTGTTTTAGAAATATTATATCTTTGTTCATTATCTAACCAACATCCATTAGTAAAAATAAATCCATCTCTTTTCTCATCAGTAATAATCATTATTGCAGTAAGTGAAACAAATTGAATATTTTCTTTTCTCTTACAAATTAAATAATATGATTCATCATCTCTCTTTTCTCCTAATTCAATATATCCAATACATTCTCCTTTCTCTATAATATTTAATTTTCCATATTTGTCTTGTTTAATTACAATTGAATCTAATTCATCTCCCCAAACAATTGAATTTTCATATATTCCTAAATACCATTTACCATGTACTAATTTTGCTGTATAATCATAAGTTCCTATTAACCTAATGATTGGTTCACAATTTTTATTTCTTTGAATACTAATAACACTTCTTCGTTGTTTTTTACAATGAAGTATAACCCTAAAATATGGAGTTCCAGAAATGATATCTTTATTTGGTATTTCATTTAACAAACATAGATAAAAGTAATCTTTACCAAAAAGTTGACTACTTAATACTATTTCTTTAGAAAAATTTATTTTATTAAATAATAATTGTGTATTAATACAAAAATAATTTTGATTTTTAATACAAATAAGTCCAACTTGACCAAAAGGTTCTTCATTTTTTTTTGGGTATATATTTTTTTCTTCTTGTAAATATGCATATAACACTCCATTCTTTAATTGCCATCTTGTATATCCTTTTTCTTTTTCTGTAATAATAAGTCTGAATGGATAAGTTCGTTCATATGTTAATCGAATATTTTTACCTATACATGGAACTCCAAGTATTGAACTAACAGAAATACAACAAGTTTGAGAAAATACATCTGGTTCAATCATTTCAAAGAGTGTTTGATTTTGTTTATTATTATTTGGAACAAGAAATATTTTATTTCTTAATAATCCAGGTACACAAGACATATATTGATATGTACTTTCATCAGATCCTATTCTATAAGAGAAAGTCCAATCACTAATCATTTGATTTATTAAAGAAACTATTGTTAATTTTAAGTTTTAATATTACTGTCACTTTCTATTCTTTTCATTAGATTTAATAATGAATAAAATAATAAAAAAAAGAAGATAATTGATAAATAAGAAAAAATACAAAAACTTTCAAATAATTAAATAAAATTCCTTTAATTCAGAAAGTACATAATTATTTTTATTTTAAGTAAATTTAATACCATAAGAATTATCAAAAATATTGATAAATAGAAGATTATATTAATTGTTTCATTAATCACTGTATATTTTTCATTTCTTTCAGTTTCTTCTTTTATTTCTTCTTTATTTTCAAGAAAATGTTTTATTTTTTCTTTTTCTGCTTCTTGTCTTTTTTTTAAAATTGTTAAAACATCATCTTCTTGATTTATTTCTTCTTCTTTTTCTTTTGTTTCTTTATTAATTTCATCATTTTCTATTTTTGTAAGTAATTCTTCTTTACATTCATTATTTATTTCATTTTGAGTTATTATATCATTTTCTTCTTTTATAATATCTTGTTGTTGATTATTATTATTTTCTTTCTCAATAATTATTTTATGATCTTTTTCTACATTTTCTAATTTATATTCAGTTTTATCATAATTGGATAATTTAGATGTAACTTCTGTAGAAGAAGTATTAATCTTTAATTGATGTTCAATATTTTCAGTTAAATTCTTTTTATCATTTTCTAGTAAAAATATTTTCTTTAATTCTTGATGATTTGCACCACAAACAGGGCAAGTATAATATTGTGATTTTTTAGCAAATTCTTTTTTTACATCTGAATGACTTTCTAATCCACCAACAGCACCTGCAGCAGGTGTTAACATAAATGCTCTAATTGCTTCAAGCATTGAAGAGATACTCCAAACAGGAGTCCATGTTTCTGGATGAAATGAAGTAATAGAAAGACATATCTTTGTATTAATAGCAAATCTACCATTTGGAGTAAAGAAATATACTTCAGGAGGATTTTTTGGATAATCATAAGGGAAAATAAATTTACCATGATATATTCCTTCAGCAAAATCTGTTTCACTTGGTCCTTTGAAACTAAAATGACATTCATATACTGAAGATTCAATCAAATAAATAGTCATATCTGGTGGTGGTGATTTTAAAAAAGCAGCATATTCTCGTTGAAGTCGTTTAATACTACCTAAATTATTGGTTTTTTGCATTGTTTTTGTTTTTATTTTCTTTTTTTTTTCAGTTTATTAGTTTAACAATTTTTTTTTTTTTTTAAAATAAAATTGTTAAAGAACTAATTAAATTTGTGTTATTTTTTTATTACAAAAGAATGTGGGCTATTCTTGTTTTATTAGTGGCAATTCTTTCTATTATAATTTTATTATTAATGTTTCAATTTATTGATCCATTAAAAACTAAATGGTATGTAACATTCTTTGTTTTTCTTGGTTGGGGAATGTCGTTTGCTATTCCTATTTTATTACCAATTGACATTTCATCAGTTTGTTTTATTTTATTTATATTATCACTATTTAATATTAAATTATCTAATTTAGTCTTTATTTGATAAATGTGTAGAACAACAAAATAAAGTTTGTGAAGAACCATTTACATATATTGATAAAAAAACATTAGTTATATTATGGAATTTATTATATTGGGGAACAACTATATTATGTTGGACAGCCATTCCATTTTTACAATCATATTGTTCAGCAGGAGATTTTCATATATTAGAACGAATAAAAACATCATTACGTGAAAATATAATATTTTATTTAGTTGTAGGATTTGTCTGTGGTATATTTTTGATATTATTCTTAATTTGGAATGAAAATGGGGATTGGTTAGGTATTGCTATTGCAGCAGCAAATGCATGGGGATTAATTATGGTTATTGGAATGATGGGGTATGGTATTGTAGCAGTTCCAGCTCGATTAATTAAAAATATATCATTAAAACATTATTTAAATTCATTATATTCTGATATTAATGATCTTACAGAAGAACATGAAGAAGAAGAAGGAATATTATCAGAACTTATTACTCTTGTTAAAAAAGCAGATGAAATTATTCCAATTACAGACCCAATGAGGAAATGTGTTCTTATAATTATAAATGAAATTGATCCAAAACGTTATGAAGCAACAGAACCATCTAGAGATTTTGTTAAATCATATGAAAATCTTAGTGAATTACATGCAAATATTCAATTTCAACAATTAAAAGTTAAACAAATATTTTATACTTTACATAGTAATGTTGATCAAGTATTAAAATATGAAAATATTAATAGTAACAAAGCTCCTTTATTTCAAAGAATTTATTTTAATATAATCAAAAAAATAGTTTCAATTATTGCATTAATTTTATTTATTATTTATTCATTAACAGTATTTTCAAGTGAATTATTACTTCCATTTAATCTTCCTATATTATCTCCTCTTTATTATATTATTCAATCAATAGAATCATCTGCATTTCTTTTACTTATTGTAATTACTGTTTTTGTTATTTATATTGCTTGGTGTGTTTATCAAACATTAATATCAATGAAATTATTTGATTATTATCAATTATTTAATAATCGTTTATCTGATCCTGGTTCAATGCTTTTTTCTGCAGCATATTTATGTCGTTTATGTGCTCCATTAGCATTAAATATTCTTCATATGATTAAATTTGATGGTATTCATTTCAATGGAACACAAACTGCTTTTCAGTCAGTAATGTCTTCAATGGAAGATATTCCATTCTTTGGTCAAAATAGTTTCAATGATTTCTTCCCTGTTTGTATTGTAATTGTTTCTGCATTTAGTTTGTTGAACCATTTCATTCCAATTCCTTTAATTTTCAATTCAATTTTGAAATTCTTTGGTGTTAGAGATCATAATAAACTAACTACTGCTCAAAAAATAAAAAGAGGTAAATACATTTCTCAAATATTTTACACTCGATATGCTGATTATATGTTTACTTTAAATGCAAGTACTCATTTATTAAAACAAAAAGATGATTAATTTTTTATTATATCTTTCATTTTTTTGGTTTAATCAGATTTTTATTCTTCTATTTCCTATCTTATTGTTTTGATTTCTAATTAATCAAGTATTTTTATATAAGGCATTACAAAGTATTTTTTAACAGTAACTCTTTTGTTTTCACTATAATTGAATGAACATTATTCATTTTCATGTTTTTCTATTATTTTTATTTTTAAATCCAAACAAATCAGAAATCAAATTCTTAATCTCTACCATACTTAATTATTTTATCTTTCCATTCACAATTCAACTATTTGTTTAAGAATACATTAATTGATTTATATTGTATTAGTGTTTAATTAATTTAGAATTGAAGTAAAATCATTATTCTTGATTAATATTTTTAATCATTTTTTTATTTCTTTAAGGAAAATAAAACATTGTTTCATTCATTACTGGAATATTAATTAATGTCTTCATTGTATAATACTGTTTACAAATTGATTGATATATAGAATATTAACTAATCATCAATTTTATTGTATTAAATTGTATATCACTCAACACTCTAAGTTTTAATGAACATACCATTAATCTATTCTCAGATTTTATCCTATGTTTACCAGTATTTTGTTTATTATTTAATTCTCTGATTCATTTTATTGAAATACAGAAATATCTAATTCAACAGAACATAATGACAACAATAAATTGTAATAGTATTTGCATATATTTATCATTTGTTGAATGATGAGTAAATGTTGTTGTTTATTAAATGTGAAATTCAAAGCATATGAACTAATTCAAGAATACCATTCAATTCAACTGAAAATAATGACAAAGATACAAATAATTAAATGGGATATAGACATAGGACATTTATAAAGAAATACTAAATGGGTACAGTTCAATTAAGATGACTTTAGTGATAAAAATAAAGAAGAACTAAAAACTCGAAATAAGAATAATAAATGATTCCAAGTAGCACTACAATTAATTCTAAAAAAGTTAGTTTTGAAGAGTTAAATGAGAGTGAAAAACGGATTAAAATGATTAACTCAATCACAGAGTTCAATGAAGAAAGTGAAGCAAAGTCAAGAACAAGAAAATTAGTTGATTATATTAGAACCACAAAACCAAAAGAAATCATTGTCATTCTACAACAACACGAGAAAGTAGTTAGAATGGCAGAACATATTAATAAACAACTTGAAATAATTAATTCATATCTGAAAAGAATTCATGAAGAACCAAGTTATACTCTCATGACATACCAAGAAAAACGAACAGAAGAAATAATTTGTAAAGAGAAGTCATTTGACAATTTTATTGAAATAATAAAACAAAGTATTCAAGTTTGTCCTGAACAATCTTTCTTTAATTACTTTTTTCCAACTAGTCAATTTACATTAACAAAAATACCTCCTAAATGTGATTTAGTAATACAATACTCCTATCACTATGAAATTAATGATCAAATGAAAAACACTATCATTAACAATCTCAACCAAAAACCATATTTTATTTTCCAATGCATTCATCCTAATAAATTCTATGATGATCCATTTGTGATGTTAAATTACAACGATTTACCACTACTCCAAAATGGTTTAATTCCACCATCGTACATACAAGGAAATTGTATGGAAGAAGTTACAAAACTCGAAGGAGTTCTTATTACACCAATATTTGAGGAATATGAGAAGATGAGAATATTTGCAAGTAGAACAAAAGAATACAGAGTTATTCCATGTCAAATTACAATGAAGAATATTATCAATGATAAAGGAAAAAGAACTACTATCAAAGGAAGTATAAAAGTTGACAACAATGATATTCCTATTGTAATCAAACAATACAAACAAAGTGAATATTTTTATAATGAAAGTTATTTGGATTATCTTGATTCCATTGGATTATTAGTCAAAGCATCAGAACAATACAATAAATATGTTGATATGTATAATAGTCGACTTAAAGATGAGAAAGTACATCGAATGAAACGAGTAAAATGTGAAGGAAGTCAGATGTTTGTTGTAACAAATCAAATGAATCAAGGAGGAACATTACGACTTAAAGAAGTGAAGGATTTGATTGATAAAAAGGAAAAAATGATAATTGAAATGTATCATGAAGAAGCAGAAACACAAATAATTCAAGCAATCAACGAAGAAGGAAGTGGAATTAGAGATAAATTAGGAATAAAAAGTATGGAAGTTTATGGAGGTGTTTTAAGTGTAGAAGCATTCAACCATTTTCTGTGGTGTCAAAGCAGTGAAAGTGTTAGTGATTTGGTGATAATGAAAAATGTATTTGTTATACTAACAAACAATGAATACACTATAATTAAAGCAGAAGTTATTCATAGCAAACCAAGTAAATATTATTTCATTCAATATTCTGATGAATTTGATACTGTAAAGAATATTTTTATCACAAACCATCATTGTCAAACAATATGTACTATGTTTAAAAAGTCTGAAGATGAAAATAGAGATATTGATTATGAAACTAATGACAAATACACTACTCAATTTATTCATTGAAATCTTTTTGAATATTTTATCAGTTATCTTTTCAAATGAACACTAAATAATGAACTAAATACTTAAAACTTCAAATAACTTCAATTCTTCTTTATAACCAAAGAAAGAAACCAAATTATTGTCTATTTATTTATTGTCAAATCAATTTTATTATATCAAAAGAAATTTATCAGCATGAAATTATTAATCTCTTGTGAATAATTGTTATATAATTTCTTCATTGAATATTATTATTGAATTCATATCTAAATCATACATTCATTGTTCATCTTCATTTATTCATCTTTCTTTAAAAGAAAACATGTTCATTCAATCAATTCTTTTCATTATTTACAAACATAACACATCCTTCAATTTATTTATTGAATTATTCTTAAATCATTTTGTCCATATTGAAGTGGTTATGACTTACAAATTTCTATATCTAGTATTAGTTTATTTAAATAAGATTTATTAAAACATAAAAGAATACTGATTGAATGGTTAATGAATGTATACAATGGTGAATTATCTTATTATGTTGAACTGATTTAATCCTATTATCAAGTAATGAATTATGTATAACATTCATATTAGCTATGAATATACAATAACTTTATTTTGTTGTTTGATGTTTATCATCAAATAACTTAATAGAAATTCATATCAATTGGTAAAACCAATAATCAATAAACATAAATCTCAAATAACTAATTACTTAATTCCTTTCTAATGATTAAAAAACCAGCTTTTTTGTATACTTGATTCATTACAATGAGAATTTCTCATTTTATAAATTATTAAATTATTCTATTATTCTGAACTTTTTGAAATATTCTAAGTTTTAATTAACTCAAAACCATTGTTATGAACAATACAATCACTTCATATGAATGTTCATACTCGAAAACGAAATTTTAATCAAACAATTGAATTATTTTAATCAATCACCTTCTTCCATTTCTTTATTCTTTTTATGTTTTAATGCTGTTCCAATTGTTCTAGTAACACTACTAATGTTGTTGATAACTTTGGTATTAAACAAAATGTTAGCATTATCAAACATTCCTGATTTTAATGATACAACAATAAACTGTGATGCTTTAAAATGTTCCCTCAACATACCTCCAAAGTTTTGTGTATTAGATACATCTAAAGCAGCATCAACTTCATCAAGAATATAAAGTGGTGATGGTTTATACAATAAAATAGCAAGAATAAGTGACAGTGCCAATAATGACTTTTGCCCACCAGACAATTCTATTAATGATTCTTTCCACATATCTCCTAATCTAACTCGTGCTTCTATTCCATTGAAAATAGAATGTCCATCAAAAGGGACTAATTTTGCAGATGCACCTGGATGTAATGAACTAAAAATTGATCCAAATTTAACATTCACAAATTCATATGCTTCTTGTATAGCATCTTTCATTTTTTCATCTAAATCATTAATTACTTTAACAATTTTATCTTTATCCGTTTCAATAATATGCTTTCTAGTCATTAAATCTTTGTACTCATCTTCAACTTTTTGTTGGTGTATCACAACTTGCTTATTTACACTTCTTTCAATTTCTATTTGTTCTTTTCCTATTTCTGCTAATTCTTTTCTTGCTGAATTGATATTGAATGTACTAAAATCAAAAATACTTCCTTTCTTATTAAACTGTTGTTTCTCCGTTTTAATCCAAAGATATTTCTTCTCGAATACTCTTATTGTCTCTCCAACATGTTTTATCTCTTCGTCTTTTTTTTCTTTTTCTTTTGTAATTCTTTTAAGCTCGTTTTCTTTTTCTCCAATCTTTTTTCCCTTAAGTTGTTTTTGTTCATTCATTTCTTTTACTCTTCTAACTTTCTCTGAATTTGCTATTTTAATTTCTTTAACCTCTCTTTTAAGCTCTTCAAGTTTCTTTTCTTTTACTTTAATTTCATGCTCTATACCATCACGTTCCAAGATAAGACTACTCAGTTCCTTTTCGTTTGCAGCCTTTTCTTTTTCCCAGTCTTCTATCTTCATCTTTTCAATTTCCCTTTTTCGAGTTTGTTCTTCTGCTCTTTTAATTTCTTTGCTTATTCTATCCAATTTTCCTTTTTCTTCTCTTATTTTATTTTGTAACTCTTTTTTAACAACTTCTCCTTGACCCACTTCTATCCTCTTTCTCTCGTTTATTGCTTCTTCTCTTCTATTAGTAAGGTCTGCCAATTCTTTTTCTTTTTCTTGGATCATTCGTTCCAGTTTTTCTCTTTGTTTTATTATTTTTTCTCTTTCTTCATTCTGCCTATCTAATTCTTCAAGCTCAAGCTCTGCCCTCTTTCTGCGTTCTCTAACAAGTTGTAAATTTTCTCTTATTCTTTTTATCTCTTGGAACTGGGCAAGTTGGGTTTTCTTTTCATTTATCACTTTTTGGCAATCTTCCCATTCTTTTTTCAACCCATTTTGTCTTCTAATTTCATCCAAAAAACCTGAACTCTTAGGTTTACTGCCTCCTGTTAAAATGCCAGATGGATCATACAAATCACCAGATATTGTAACTGTTTTCATCATGACCCTTGGGTTGAAACAAACTTTTTTTGCAGTTTCAGCATCGTCTGCAATAAGGACATTTCCAAACACATATTTCATAATTGGATAAAATTCTGTTTCACACTGAACTACATCTAAAGCATACTGAATCTTATTTCCACCAATTTCTTTTGCTTGTTTAATTTGATTCAAATTTGGCATTTGTGGAGCAATCTTATTTAATGGAATGAATGTCATTCGTTTCTTTAAACATTTCTTTTCAACCAGTAAGGAAGCTGTAATATCACTGTCAACAACAACATGAAAAATTTTTGGTCCTGCTGCAATCTCAAGTGCTGTAGAATACTTATTTTCTTTTGGAGTAAATAAAGTGACTATAAGACCTTTTACACGGTTTCTATCAAAGTCAGCACTTGGCATAGAATATCTAAAACTAAAATTTGTTTTTCTATTTGCCTCTTCAAACCTTCTTCTTTTTTTTTCAAGGTCTTGTTCCAAATCGTATAGTTCAGACTCAATTTCATTTGAACCGTTCCAATCGTTACATTGGTACTCTAAATTTTTTTCTTCATTAAGAATTTCTTTTATTGTAGATTCAGTTTCCTCTTTACTTACTTTGGCTGGAATTGGTTTTTGTTTTTGCCGAATGAGGTCTTCACATTCTTTACGAACTTTTTTCATCGAAATAGTAATTCCTCCAATGATATCTTCTGATTGACTGAGTCCATTCATTTTTCCTAGTCTTAATTCTAATTCTTCAACCTTCTTTTCTATCCATTCCTTTTCTCTAATTAATCGTTCATCATTTTCTCCTTCATCTTCTTGAACTCTTTTAATATCTCTCTTAATCTTTTCAATTTTGTTATTGAGGTTTTTTTCTCGTTCTTTGTTAGCCTCATTTCTTGTTTTCATGACCTCAACCTCTTCATCGATTTTTGTTGCCTCTTTTTCCTTTTCATCAGTGTTTAAAATTTGTTCTCCTAAATCTTCAGCCATTCCCTCGATTTCATCTCTCATTTTTTCAATTAATTTTTTATTGTTTGAAATTTCACCCTCTAGAATTTTGATTTCTTCATTTAAGTCTTTAAATTTTTTTTCTGCTCGGTAATAATCAAAGGCATGGATCTTCATTTCTAAGTTCTCAGAAGCTGCCTTCTTATTTCTTAAGTTTACTAAAGCCTCTGCATCTTTCTTCAATTTTTCTCTAGACGGAGTGATTTCTTCTCGGAGGATATCATCTATTTCCTTTAATTTAGAATCTTTTTTTTCTAGGACTTTTACTGCTTCTGCTCGTTTTGTTTCATACATTTTAGTTCCTGTAACTTCTTCTACCATAGCTAAGATTTCCATCGGTTTCATATTAAGTACTTTAACAACTTTTCCTTGCATTATAAGAAAGTGAGGATTGTTGACGTTCAGTCCAATTGCTCTGAAGAATGTTAAAATATGGGATTGTGGTAATACTTTTCCATTCAACATGTACTTATTTTTTCCTGTAACAGTAATTTGTCTTGCAACAGTGATTTGGTCATACTCTTCATAACCTGTAGGACTATTTGCTTTGTCATTATTATTAAATATAATTGTAACAGTAGCTTTTGTGACACCACATTGTCCAGATTTATATATTAGTTCTTGTAAAGTCTGTACACGAACTAATGATAAGTTCTGAATACCCATTACAAAACAAATGGCATCTAATATATTTGATTTTCCTGAACCATTTAACCCAGTAATGGCATTAAATTTACTATCAAATTTCCCTATTGTTGTTTTTCGAGCATAAGACTTAAACCCATCAATTAGTACTTCCTCGATGAACATTTCAATCTTGTCCAATTTAAGTTGTCTTTTTTTTCACTTTTTCGTTCACTTTAAATAAATGCTTCAAAAAGAGAAAAAAAGAACAAAAATTATTTCATTTTTTGTTTTTATTCTTTAAAAATTCACTATTAAAAAGTTCATTGTTGTAGATAATGAGAAGAGATTATTTTTGTTAACTCAGTATCATTATTTCTGAGCTAATTTCTAAAGCAAATAATAAAAAAATATTCTTTCTATATAGGGAGATTGTGCAAACATTCAAACTGAAGAAGGTTGGGATTTTCTAATAAAATAAGATTTAGATTTTACAAATTATTGAAAGTTATTCTTTATTACTTCTTATAGAATAAATAGTAAAACAAACTAATTCATCACCATGGCTATGTTAGAGCTAATGGGTTCAAAGAGTTAATAATAACAGAGTTGATAGAAAAATAGAACGTTTGATAAAACATTTTATAAATATTTGATAAACTATTTAGGATGATATTCGTTATGTTTCATAATAAAATGATAAGGTATTTTTAATAAACAATAAATATATACTATTAAAAAGACTCAAAGTAGTTTAAAAAAATGTTTAAATGATAATTGTATTTTGTTGTTTTAAACTAGTAATGACCAAATATTCTCCTCAACTTCAATTTATTAATCAATAGTTTTTTAGATTACTATTAAACTAATTTCTACTAATAAAAGAATATAACAATAAAAGACACCTTATTATTTCTTAATGAATAAATTAGGTAGTAATGTCATTTATCTATAAAACTGAAAGAATTATTATAAAGACTATAAAAGTAATAAATCATTAATACTTAATTCAATAAATCATCTTTATAAAGGAAATGAACGAAATAGATTAATTAATACATACTTTTTAAATTAAATAAAGAAAAAAGAAGAAAACACTTCTGTTAACATATCTTTTAAAAATGATAAAATGAATTTAGTGTTTGTTATAGAAAGAATAAAAAAGTTATAATGTATCAAAAAAAAAACTCATGTAGTTATTCTAATTATATAAATATTCTTGTATTATAACTAATTAGAAGATACTTAATGAAATAGTAAAAGAAATTATATACTTCATTCTATCTAGTCATCGATTAAATGAGAATCTTAGATACCAAAAATAGAAAGAAAGAGAATTGTTCAAAGATGATATCATCAAATTTAATTAAAAATATAGTTTTAATTGAAAGAATTTGAATTAAATAATGAAAACTAAAAATCAAAAGAACTTAAAAAGATAGTCAATAAAATAATGAATGATCCTTTACAATTTCCTATTGATGATTATTATTGCACTGAAACAAACAACTTAATAAATAATTATATGAGAGGAGTAAGTCAACAAAATAAATCAGATGAACCTAGTCAACGAGTTCAAATTTTAACGAAATCTATTGAAGAACATTTTAATCCATCAACAAATTATTCTCCTTCAACAAGCGTAGAAAAAATAATTCATTTACCATTATTAGAAGGAGAAATAATTAAAAACGAACACAAAGGATTTATCTTTGAAAAAATACACACATCTATTTATATTACTAACCATAGACTTATTTTATATTTTCATTCAACAGAAGAATGTATGACATTTCCATTCTTTTGTTTATTAAAAATTAAAACCACAGAACACAATGGAGTTAGTTATACATTCTATTTTAAAGATTGTCAAATTATTACATTATCAGCATATGAACCAAGTATGCCATGTACTTCATTTGTTCAAATGATACGACAAATGATTGAAACATATTGTCCAATTGATTTTGTGATGAGAGGAGTTGGTGGAAAACATGGTTGGAATTCATATAATATTTATAACGAATTTACAAGGATGAGACTAGAAGGAGAATGGAAAATATGTGAATATAATAGTAAGTATGAAATATGTAACTCATATCCAACTCAATTAATAGTCCCAATGGATATTCATAAGAGTACGTTAATGGCTTCTTCTGAATTTAGAACTAATGGAAGAATACCAGTATTAACTTGGATTCATCCACAAACGAGAAAAGTTTTACTTCGATCTAGTCAACCTAAAACAGGATTTACAGGAAAATCAGATGAAGACGTTACGTTATTGTATAGAGAAGGTGGAAACAGTTATATTCAAATATATGATTGTAGAGATTATTATTCTGCATTAGGAAATAAAGCATTTAAACAAGCTGGGTTTGAGTCAGTATCAGAATACACTTTTTGTTCAATAGAATTTCTCAATATCCCAAATATCCATCGAGTTAAAGAAGCATTTAATGAGTGTTATGATATTTTTTTAACACAAGATGAAACAGTGTCGATATTACCTATAATATATAAAAGTGAATGGATAAAATATATTCAAATATTACTACAATCAACACAAACTGTTTCTAATATGTTAGAAAACAAACCAGTTTTAATTCATTGTTCTGATGGATGGGACAGAACAAGTCAAATATGTAGTTTAGTTGAATTAATGCTTGACCCATTTTATAGAACAATTTCAGGATTTGCTGTATTGATTGAAAAAGATTGGTTATCTTTTGGTCATCAATTTCAAACAAGGAGCGGAATCACACATGACACAACAGGTACATCTCCAATTTTTCTTCAATTCCTTCATTGTGTTCATGTATTATTAAAACAGAATCCATACTCATTTGAATTTAATGATAAACTTCTTCAATTCCTTGCTGATGAATTATTTACTTTTAAGTATGGAACGTTTGCTTTTAATTGTGAAAAAGACCGTAAAGAAATAAAAGCAAATCTTTATTCTGCTTCAATTTGGGATGATGTCATAAATATGACTGAATTTATGAATGACCACTTTAGACTCTCTTCTAAACCACTAACACTAAACACTTCATTACTTTGTATTAGTTCTTGGTTAAATTACTTTATTAGGTACTCTCAACCTTTAATCTCACAGAAAACTCTGTATTAAATATTATGTTTTATGTAACAAATTCTCTTCTTTTTATTGGTTTAGAAGTTTTTGCTATTTTAAAAAGATTGACGTTTTGATATAAATAATATGAACTAAAAATTATAACATTTTAATGAAAAATAATTAACAATAAAACACCTCAAAAGACTCACAAACAAAGTCAAAAAAAAAACTAACAAGACTTTTTAAACTCATTAATATCTAGAATTTATATGAACAAAATTGTGTTTTTGAAAAAGAGAATTATTCATTAAAATTATAAGAATCAACGAAATAACTTTTCATGAATAATGATATAATCCTATCAAGACCAAAAGAAACAAAACCTTATAAGAATTTTATTCATAAAGAAAAGAATATAAAGTTAATAAAACAAAAAATAATAGAGTCATAAGTTTAATTCTCCGGTAAAGAAACCTTTCTAAGAGGTAAGGTGATTTTGTTTTATAAGAAATTATATGTTGGTGGGTTAAAATAAAGAAAAGAACTACTACTTGTATAATTTAGTGCCATCTCAAAATTCTAAACCTTGGTTGCATGAAGGAACAACAATAAGAAAAAAAGTAAAAGGAAAAAAATATGGAATGGGGACAACAAAAAGAGTTAAGAAATGTATGTACTAATTGGAAAGGAAGTTGGTTTGTTCTTTAAACTAAACTATTAAAAAAAGATAGGATCCTAATTAGAATGTTGTTGCTATTAATTCAAATATAACTCTACCCTGATTATTAAAAAAAGAGGTAAATAAATACACAAAGAAATTAGTACATATTCAGAAAATGGTTTTACTTTATAACAACAAAATTCTGTTATCAAAAAGAATGAGAGAATTTATTTAGAAAAATGCTTCAAGGATTGATGTCTATTTTAGAATAAATATGAAAAAGACAAAAATATGAAACAAAATTAAAAAATCAAAAATTAAAAAGGGAAACGAAAAAATTACAACTTAGAAAAAAGAACTTGAAATAAGAATAGTAAAAAGTTAGAAAAAATTAGAAAAGAAATAGAATTGGTGAAGGAAACTAGAAAAGTATGACATAAAAATAGAATAACTAGATTCAAAGAAAAAAGAATAGGCAATGTGAAGGGTTTTAACTATTAAATGTTAGAAGGAATGCAAGGCCATACTAGACACTCACGACTTACGATGCCTAAGCCAAATAAAAAGAAAACCATGGTTGTGGTTGATACATCCAAACTTGAAGAATTAGACATGGATGATGTATTTGCAGTTGAAACTGATATTAACAAATTGAGGGGATGTGCTATGTGTAGTGCATTGTCGAATAGAGGATATTTTTTAAAACAAAATCAAGAAAAGAAGTATCACTATGAGATTCGTGCACTTCCTGGACATCTAGAAGAAAGAAAAAAAGTAGAAAAGGTAGTAAAAAAAGAAAGTGTAAGACAAAGAAGAAATAAAAAAAGGATGGTTGTTGAAAAGAGTGATGACGTAGAAAAGAAAGAAACATTTAATGTATCTGAAGAAGTTATTAGAGTCTCTCCAAAGTTAGATGGAAATGATTCAGTTGAATCTAAAAAAATTAAAACATTAGAAAATGAAGATTCAAAAAGAAAGGTTCAGAAAAAGAGTAAGACTTCTGAGGTGCAAGAAGATAAGAAAGAAAAAAAGGCCAAAAAAAGAAAAAGTCTCATCAACGAAGAAATGACAGTTACTTTAAATCTTGATAAAGCATTATTAGGAATTGATGAACCGCTTACTAATTTCGAAAATCTTCAAGAAACAAAAAGTACAAAAAAAAGAGGAAGAAAACCAAAAACACGATCAGTTACTGTCTTACAAAACACACCACAAAGTACTCTTCTTACTACTCCAACACCACTGAATGCTCAAGGAATTCCTATTTATAAACCAGAACGGTTACCAAATGTTAAAAAGCCATTATCACAAGAAGTTATTCCATGTAAACAAATATTAAATCAACTAAAACTCTTACCAGAAGCAAATCCTTTTTTAACACCAGTTGATCCAATTGCACAAAATTTACCAGACTATTATGTTGTTATTAGACATCCAATGGATTTAAGTACTATTACAAAGAAATTTAGGTATGGAATTTATGAACATATAGATGATTTTGCTAATGACGTACGGTTAGTTTTTAAAAATGCTATGAAATATAATCCACCAAGAAATACAATTCATATATTTGCATCAACATTATTGAGATATTTTGATGACCAAATTAAAGAGATATATGATTGCAGAAGGACTATTAAAGTTATATTCAACCAAGATGAACATAATTATTGGAATGACCAAAGAGAATGGATGAATTTTAAACAGAGTATTGAAGAATTAAAAGAAGAACAAGGGACTTTTCCTCCAAAGATGGAAGAAGAACGAATTATGCCACTTTCATTTGAAGAAAAAATTGAGTTAAGTAAAAGACTTGAAGAAGTTGAAGGAACTAAACAAGAAGAAGTACTAAAATATCTAAAAATAGATAAAGACGAAGGTGAAGTAGAAATCAAATTTGAAACATTAAATGAACAAGATTTTATCATGTTAAATAAGATTGTCTCACCTTGTAATTGAATAAAATTTCAGTTTTGTATAATGTCTTTTTTATTTTTTAGTTAAGTAAAAAAAAAAGTAATTTTGATTAAAGATTGAACAAAAATATTGTTTAAACAATTTAATAAAATATTTGTTACAATTATTAGAAATAAGCAAAAAATGGTTTTGAGAGTACAACAATCAGTCAATAAGAAATAAGAAATGGCTATTAATTAAATATCTTTTGCATATTGGTTTGAATAAAACTATCAGTGTTTTCTAATTTAATATTCTCAATAAGAGCTTCAGATAGATTTGGTAATAATGTAAAAGAAGGTTCAATATCATTCATACAATATTTATAAGAAGATGAAAGAGAAGGTAAAGCAAATTTCTTCTCTTCTTTAGATTTAATAGTAATATTATCTTGGGAATACTCACAAGAAAAAGGAGTTTCATTTTGTGTTGAACTAATTTCAAAACAATTTGAATCTGTACATTCCCATGGGGCTTCATATTTATGTAATTTCCAAACACCAGTTTTATTAACAGTAGATTTACCAGACTCAAATAAATTACAATGAATCATAGCATCCAAAATAGCTTTTTTCCACTTATTTGGATTGGTTCTAAATTGACCTAATTGAGAGAAAAGATACCAATGATCAACAATAAACCAATGGACATCATATTTTAATGAGAAGTATCCATTCTTTTTATGAATTACAGATAAACAATAGAAAATAACTCTACAAATATATTGCCAAGAAATAACATTTCTTGATCTTTCTTTTAATAATACACTTATTCCTTTTTGACATAATGGACAAAAGCAAAGTTTTAAATGATATGGTTCATTTTCATCTACTATAGGTGTTGAATCAATAGGGTCAAAAGAAGGGAATATTTTTGAATTACAATATTGATTCATTGGTATTGCTTGCATTAAATAATAAAAGTTCTTTCCTTTCATTCTTTTTATACCTTTGAAATGACAGTATGAAAAACTAAAAGGCAATAATAGGATTAATCTCGTTAATTATTTTGTTCCTTATATCTTTTTAGTTCTACTTTCATTATTAACTTCTTCTGTTTTTTCAGAAAAAGAGATACACAAAAATAGAAATCGAAAATATTTTTTATTTTCTATTTTTGGATTATTTTGTGAGATTAACAACTTGTTTTTTGTTTTGATTGTATATAAATAAAAATAATTAAAGATATTATAGAATTAGTATCGTTATTATTTGTATCCAAATTAAAAGTCTGAATGAAAGGAAAAATTGGTTTGAAATAAAAAATTGTTTTGTTCCTTTAATAATAATTTAATGTGTATAAAATGTTATATATAACAAAGATATATATTTTAAATAAATATAAACATTGAATTATTGTTCAAAGTCATGAATTAAGAGATCTCCATAAGATTGAGAAACAATAATATATCTATCATTACAAGTAAAACTTTTTATTTTATTTTCAGTTTTAAAAAGTGTTTGTGGTAATTTCATTTGATTATTAACAATCCAAGT